ATACTACTTTTGTCTCATTTTATCGCAGTGCAGTGTTCCGAAGGTTTCACTTCTACCGCGTGTGAACTGCACACATGATTTTTTTTTGCTAAGATCAAGCAAAATTATACTAACATTTACCAAAAAACAGAAAGAAGTGTCAAAAAGTGTTATAAAACAACAGGTTTGCAAAAAAACATCAAAATGACAATTTATTGACGTTTTTCGCAATTTTTAAACCCCTACACTTTGAAAATTCACCGAAAACAAATTATTGTAAAATATGTAATTATTATGATAATTCTACAATAACTATCGCCATAATAATTAATTTATTATGTGCGAGAATCAACCTTGGTGCTACTACGATGAAGAATTCGAAATTCGTCATTTTACCGAAAAGGTATGTACAATTTGTTCCAAAACGATATTTTTTGACACTGACAGTCAATTTATTCCTATACTGTCAATATTTTTTTTTATTTCCACTCACGTAACACACATTTACTGATTTTTGTAAAATGTATAATCACAAGATAAGAGGACGTCCAGATGATCCCAAAAACAAAGCAATCGCCGCGGCGAAGTCATCCTTAGCGAAAACCATCACCGTAAACCCTCTGAGTCCATTCGCGCAAATCCCAGAACCATCGGAATTGGAAGCCGCCAAAAGCCGCCAGCATTATAATGAATTCAAGAAATCTTATCAGCTGAGACACAGTGCGTTATCACTACGTACACCATCGACTAAATTTCGCATGCCGATTATACGAGAATCACAACATTGTGAAATGTATAAATTATCCACACCAACACCAAGTCTGAAATTGGTCGAAAAGAAATCAATTTCTCAGAGGCCAAACACCCAGGATAAACTTGTCAATGTACCATCATGGACACAAGACTCCGAAGCAGAGTATAATCGGTATACAGATGATGCACAAGCGATGATGTTGTTGGAGAAATTGAAACAATTAGAGATTAATTATACACAATCACAGAATTCAAAAATTTCACAATTTTCGCAACACTCGCAAGAATCTCAAAATGCAGGCACCCAGAGTGTCTTAGAACAAGCTGAGAAGGAAGCTGAGGTAGGCCAAGAACAACTCGATACTATCCGGAAATTATTACAAGTGGATAAATCGACATCTAAACCAGGTGTAAGTTTACCATTTATAGAAGAAGAAGAAGAAGAACAAAAAGAAGATCATCCAAAGTTAAAACAAAAGAAATTAGTCGAAAATGTCAAAGAAAAAATATCAAAATGTAAGAAAAAGAACATGGTCATTACTTTAAACACCCTCAATCAACGGATACAGAAAATGCATGAGAAATATTTTAACGAACCAAGAGTACAGTATAAATCACTCAAAGATATCGAAAAACGTTTGAAATTAGAAAAAAGCATTGAAGTTTTATACGCCAATGAAGGATTCGATCCGGATAAAGAAATCAGTCAGATATTATTAGAAAACACCCCTGAAAAACAAGATTCTAATATATCTCTTAACTCAGACTTAGAATCTAAGACTAAATCTGTGAATATCATCCGTAAAGCAATGAGTATTCCTTTAGAAAGACACGAATTCACCACAGATGTCAGCTCTGATAATTATCTCCTGAATAAAAAGATAAAAAACGTTCATTTTCATGGTGATGAAATAATCGAACCAGAATCCGATTCAGACTTAGATATTCTAACATCTAGGAATGAGACTGAGAATACTGTAAAATCTAATGATACAAATTGTACGACTAAATATCAATCAGCAAAGGTAGATGTTTTGCTTTCACCGCAACCCTCCGCTGAATCCACCTCATCGAAATCAGCGAGTACTCTGCATTCGATTCAAGATTCTATTCTAAAGTCGGAATATCTCATGAAAGAGTTTGATCTGTCCTCGGGCGACCTCACGACTGGTTTGTCTAACTATGCGACTAGTATGTCAACGTCGAAGAAAAGTTCTGATTCACTCGCTGGTTTGCCGAGTTTGCAAAGATTTTTCTCGGCGACTAGTCGGGGTAATTCCAGGAATAACATGCAGGATGCTTTTATGGAGGACTCAATACGTACGCAATTGAAAAATTCGCTATATGATATTTTCTAATATTTTGTCTGTGCTGTGATTGTTGTTTTTTT